TTGAGGATAACTTAGAGGGATCTTGAGGATAACTTAGAGGGATTTTGAGGATAAACCATATAGAAATCGGTGATCGGTCTGTCCTATGATTCTTCTATAATACATTATACATAAGTGGGACATAAACATCAAATATCTTACTTTTATCTATAATAATCCTGATTTTGATATATGTTCTCTGGACAGCTGTAATCAGGATTAGTGATTGTAAGATAACTACGGCCTGGTGTAAAATATTGTTCCTCTTGGTTTTACACCTAATTTACAACTGTTGTGTCTATATCCTTCTTGCTTTTTAAAATAGAGTTGTGGCTATTTTGTTAACGCATTATTGTGCTTATTCACAATAAGCAGTGTGGTGTGTGTGTGTGTGTGGTGTGTGTGTGGTGTGTGTGTGTGTGTGTGGTGTGTGTGTGTAGTAACACACACACCACTTCTATCTTATATTTATAGAATGAGCTGATGAGTGATAAAATAGACTTTGGCACATAGACTATGTAAAAGATCCCTCTGATCACCACACACACACACACACCACACACACACACACACACACACACACACACACACACACACACACACACACACACACACACACACACACACGATATAGTTCCTTAAATTGAACATTCTCATACATACCCTGGAATGAACATCTTTTGAACTAAGGACCCCCTGCACTCGCAGGTTTGCAACAATGCTGGTTTAGTGTGATATTAGTGTGTTTCCAAGTCTTCTGTAGGCCTACTAGATACAGTACAGCAGGGAAAATGATCATGAAAGTACAACAGGTATGGGGACATTAGAGGAAATTGCACAATATGCATAGGCCTATGTGAGGCTAGTAAAAAAAAATTGTCCTCTCAAATTCTTCATAGTATTTTGACGTCAAAATCACCCCTTCTACCCCCCTACAAGTGTATATGATGTAAATCACTAAACGGACACACTGTCACGTTTTCTATTCGTTGGTTCTTGGTTAGGTTAGGTTCGGGTAATTTTAGTACATCATTTTCGTGATGTTTTGGTAACTCGAGAGGACGGCCTGCTTAATTACACTCAACCAGGCTCATAGATACATCAATTCACCCTTGAAAAAAATCCCTTTTTAACGATCCCACAAACTTATAACGGCTGGTAGTCAATTGTTCACAAAATCTTCAATTTCTCATACCGGTAGTTAACGAGAAATTGTCACAATTTAAACGCCATTGTTACACTCGCTGATCTTACAAACACAAATCACAATAGCCTGGTGCATCAAATGAACAAAATCCCCTAGGGCCGTGATGCGGATTCGAACCTGCGTCTGGGATCATCCCGGACGCAGGTTCGAATCCTCGTCACGGCCCCTTGTGGATTTGTTCATTGATCTCGTTCAATGAGGTTTTGTGAACATAAGATGAATAGATGTTATTACATTCATAACACATAAAGTCTCTACACATTGTCGATATTTGTCACCCGTCATATAGGTGGTATAGAATGGTATATATATATCTAAAATATATATTTATATGTAACATATAACATCTACGTTTAATATAATACATTTCAACATTTACTCGCAATACTTGTTTACAGTTGATCTGGTTGTTCTAATATTTGGGAAAGAGGGATTAACATCATCTAGGAGAGAGAGAGAGAGAGAGAGAGAGAGAGAGAGAGAGAGAGAGAGAGAGAGAGAGAGAGAGAGAGAGAGAGAGAGAGAGAGAGAGAGAGAAGAGAGAGAGAGAGAGAGAGAGAGAGAGAGAGAGAGAGAGAGCGAGAGAGAGAGAGAGAGAGAGAGAGAGAGAGAGAGAGAGAGAGAGAGAGAGAGAGAGAGAGAGAGAGAGAGAGAGAGAGAGAGAGAGAGAGAGAGAGAGAGAGAGAGAGAGAGAGAGAGACGAGAGATAACCCTGAAAGTGAGATACAATGAGATAAAGATGGAGAAAATATGAGAGAGAGATTATGCCCATTGCCCCAGATTGATAGATAGCTTGAAGGGCCCCCCAACAATATGGGATACAGGCTTGGATAGGGATTAAAAGGCTTATATAAATCACACCATGATTATACAAAACAGGAGACGCATATATTGGTGAAAAGCTATATATTTAAAATATTTCCTCTCTTTAATTAACTTATCCTAATGTTAAAATCCCCTTGTTACTTGTTCATATATATCTTCCAAGATATTTTGATCAAATCAACTCTTGTACTGTTCCATTTCTAAGTGTCTTTGACCTTCTAAGTGTCTTTGACCTTCTAAGTGTCTTTGACCTTGAGCTTAAGTCTTTTTATAAGATTATTGTCAAGTTCAAAATATTCACATATTAATCAAAATATTCACGTGATTCACTGTAAAGTTGAAAAAGTTTATATGGTTCACTTTAACATTAGTGTTTGATTCACTTCAATCACAATTTCAAGATGATCTTATGAATCACTTGGAGGGCAAACTATGTCTATATCCTTCACTAGAGGATTCGAATCGTTTCTCGGAATTACACAATCTCTGACAACATTGGTTATGAAATATACTATTATATCTCAATTTTTCTCATGTTTAGGTATCAGGATTACGAAGATATATTACGAAGATAAATGATTGTGAATTTGTATACTCTGCAAATATACACACTTGTGTGTTTATATAAGTTTACACACACACACACACACACACACACACACACACACACACACACACACACACACACACACACACACACACACACACACAGTATGAGTTTTCATTCGCATATAGTCCTGGGACCATTCAGGCCTGCACCACCCCTCCCCCCCTTAAAAAAAATTTTTTTTAGTGCATTTGACAAAATTTCCGCAATTCGTAAATGGTTCACGTACAAAGTTTTAATTAAATCCAAGTTCAGACGCGAACACAAAGGTGGTATTTGAACCTCATACTTGAAATACCGTAGTTTTACACAGGTGACAACTCTACCCATAGACTCGAGTTTCAGCCTCTCTCTCTCTCTCTCTCTCTCTCTCTCTCTCTCTCTCTCTCTCTCTCTCTCTCTCTCTCTCTCTCTCTCTCTCTCTCTCTCTCTCTCTCTCTCTCTCTCTCTCTCTCTCGCTTCACCTCTGTTGCCTGTGTCTGTTTTCCTGTTTTCTGAACCTGTTTGTGTTCTTAAACAGTCTATATACTTCTGTTTTCAAGCTGTTAAATGTATCATTATCATTTTATCTCGTTTCTTGTAGATTGTAATTGTATTGTCAATACAATTAAGATTGTTTCTTTTTTTCATCGTTGTTGATTGTTGAATTTTGTCGACGAAGAACATTAGTTTCATCATCAAACATCATCATGAGTGGTATTAACATCATTATAAGAGCCTACTCAATTACAATGTCTTTCATCATTTCCTAAGTTCAAACCATTGTTCTATCGTACGACAATACAATGCTCTTAACAATCGCACGTGATTGTATAATTGTCCTTGCGTACAACAGCAGTAACGACTAAACAACAATCGAGCTTCACTACCACTTTGGTGGTATCGATTTTCCCCCTTATCCCCCCTTATCTCCCTTATCTCCCCCTATCTCCCCACCGTCTAGGCCTCAGACGAAGTTCTCTCTGGTCTCTTGCTTGCGCGAAAGAGCCGGCGAAGAGGAGTAGGCTGCGTAGTGATGCGATATACCGCTCCGCAGGTCTGGGAGAGTGGTAATAGAGTCCTGTGTTGTGCCTTGACCTCCAGTTTCTCCCCCTGCAGAGCCTTCAATACCTGGCCCCAGGCCGCCGCCGCTTACCTGGACAAGAAGACACTATTTAATCATGGATTAAAATCATGGATGTGTACCTTATGCAAATTAATGTCGTGGTTTCATTTCTGGATCTTGAAGAAATAGTGCTTTACTTCGCATTTACTAGATAAAAGATTGTGTACACGGCACCGATTAACTTAGATAAGCGTTCGAGGTTACTAATTAGACCAGTAGGTTGAAGACAGTATGACGTGACCTACGAGAGGTCATGACCTACGAGAGGTCATGACCTACAAGAGGTCATGACCTACGAGAGGTCATGACCTACGAGAGGTCGTGACCTACGAGAGGTCATGACCTACAAGAGGTCATGACCTACGAGAGGTCATGACCTACGAGAGGTCATGACCTACGAGAGGTCATGACCTACGAGAGGTCGTGACCTACGAGAGGTCATGACCTACGAGAGGTCATGACCTACGAGAGGTCATGACCTACGAGAGGTCATGACCTACAAGAGGTCATGACCTACGAGAGGTCATGACCTACGAGAGGTCATGACCTACGAGAGGTCATGACCTACGAGAGGTCATGACCTACGAGAGGTCATGACCTACGAGAGGTCATGACCTACGAGAGGTCATGACCTACGAGAGGTCATGACCTACGAGAGGTCATGACCTACGAGAGGTCATGACAACTCAAGCCACAATCTCTCAAGTAGAAATGAAAAAAAATGCATGAACAAAAAAAAATATGAACATAAAAATATTCACCTCTCTATATGAAAAAAAAGAATAATTTTATATATAAAAAGGTCAATACACTTTACTGAATATTTAAAAATCTCAGGAAATCACTGCTGGAGTAGGTAAGCACAACTAGACGAGTACAATTATAAATTGTAATTGATCGAGGGGGAAGGGAAGGGGGGAAAGCGGCAAGCCATTACATAGCATTTGAAAACAAGTCATTGTACCCAGTGACCTTTCCATTGGAGACTTTCGGCGCCGTGGAGAAAGAAGGGGAACACCTGCTGCATGGGTAACACCTTCTCCATATCAACCTACCCTGGCTTTGCACCCTGGGGAGGTGGGGAAACCTGCTGCATGGGTAACACCTTCTCCATATCAACCTACCCTGGCTTTGCACCCTGGGGAGGTGGGAAAACCTGCTGCATGGGTAACACCTTCTCCATATCAACCTACCCTGGCTTTGCACCCTGGAGAGGGGGGGAAGACCTGCTGCATGGGTAACACCTTCTCCATATCAACCTACCCTGGCTTTGCACCCTGGGGAGGTGGGAAAACCTGCTGCATGGGTAACAGCTTCTCCAATATCAACCTACCAAGCTTTACACCCTGGAGAGGCCACTCCAGACAACCAGAGCCCAACCCCATAGTATCCTGAGACTCCCGGATGCCTACTACTTACTTCTACAAGTCACAGAGACCTACCAATGACGGCTTGATATTGTAAGACACAGTAGAAGGATCAAGGTGTAGTTGAGCTGGTCGTTCTATAAGCTCCTCCTGGTGGGCATTGGGCACATCTCTGCCCATGATGTCATACCCTCTCGCGCCCTCAATACCTACACTCTCCTCGTAATCTAAAAAAAATAAAAAAAAATAATGCTATCTTTTAGACAATTGGTCCCCAAATTTTGGAACCAATTAGCAATATGTAGGGTTATGTGTACAGTTTATGGTCCTATAGGGCTAAGGGTGGGAATATCCCTTTATAATTTATGTTATTCAAAAAGTTATTTTGAATAACAGTTAAAAGTTATAACAAAAAAAATGTTGAGTGTGGCTGGAACATCTATGCTGAGGTCTGGAAGGCTTATACTGAGGTCTGGAACACCTCTACTGAGGTCTGGAACATCTATACTGAGGTCTGAAACATCTATACTGAGGTCTGGAACATCTATACTGAGGTCTGGAACACCTATACTGAGGTCTGAAACATCTATACTGAGGTCTGGAACACCTCTACTGAGGTCTGGAACACCTATACTGAGGTCTGGAACACCTATACTGAGGTCTGGAACACCTATACTGAGGTCTGAAACATCTATACTGAGGTCTGGAACACCTCTACTGAGGTCTGGAGCATCTATACTGAGGTCTGGAACATCTATACTTAGGTCTGGAACATCTATACTGAGGTCTGGAACATCTATACTGAGGTCTGGAACACATACTGAGGTCTGGAACACCTCTACTGAGGTCTGGAACACCTATACTGAGGTCTGGAACACCTATACTGAGGTCTGGAACACCTCTACTGAGGTCTGGAACATCTATACTGAGGTCTGGAACACCTCTACTGAGGTCTGGAACATCTATACTGAGGTCTGGAACGCCTCTACTGAGGTCTGGAACATCTATACTGAGGTCTGGAACATCTATACTTAGGTCTGGAACATCTATACTGAGGTCTGGAACACATACTGAGGTCTGGAACACCTGTACTGAGGTCTGGAACATCTCTACTGAGGTCTGGAACATCTCTACTGAGGTCTGGAACACCTATACTGAGGTCTGGAACACCTACTGAGGTCTGGAACACCTACTGAGGCCTGGAACACTTACTGAGGTCTGGAACACTTACTGAGGTCTGGAACACCTACCAAGACTTGTGCTGAACAAGTTGCAGTTGTGTTCCACAAGGCTTGGCGACGCGTTGACTGGTAGAATTCTCTGTTGTTCTCCTGTTGTGACGTAAGGGATAATGCTGTCGCTACTGCTACTGCTACTGCTGCTGTAGACGCTGTTGTAGACGCTGTTCCTGTTGCTACTTCGGTAATTCTTGCTCCGGCGGCTGTTTCTCTCGCTTCCACAAGAGTTTAGTCTTGGACTGTTTGAGAGATGAAGTCTCCTTTTACTCGTAATTTCCGGGTTGTGGTTGAGTAGGGTGTTATGAGCGGTTGTGTTGATGAGGTGTGGGTTGTGGGTGGTTGTGGTGGCGGAGGAAGGCGGGCTGTGAGCTGTCTTGGGGCTATAACTGTTGTATATGGAGGCGACGACAGGGTTTTGATTACAGACGGGGTTGTAGATATTGTTGACGGGTGGTGAAGCGCTTGGGTTGTGAGACGGATTGAAGGCAGAATTTTGTTGGCTTGTAGAGTTGTAGTCGATTGAGGCGCCATGAGGTTCCCTCAGTGAGGTTCTCACCTGCTTGTGAGGCGCGAGAGGTGAGGAACTTCTGCAGGAGATTGAACTGGGGCCTGCAAGAGTTCTGGGATCTTGCAGAGCGCTGTTGAAGATGTTGTTTCTGGGCGAGTCAGTCTGATCCGGACTGAGGATATCATTGATCTCAGCGTCTCTCTGTTTGTTGACGTCGCTGGTGACGCTAGCATTGTTGACGTCGCTGGTGACGCTAGCATTGTTGACATCACTTGTTGCACTCACGCTGGGGTTGACTACCTGGTTACCCACACAGCTCTGAGTGGTGTCACAGCTGCCGCTCTGAGTGGCAGAGTTGTTGGTCTCCGGATCGTGGGTCGAGACAGGGACGCCGATGACAATAGTAGGGTAGTGAGGGACAGGGGTTGTAGGGGCTGGCTGGGGGCGGAGATGGGGAGAGAGATGAGGGCTATGTGGTGAGGGGTGAGGAGTGAGGGGAGAGGTAGACACTCCCCCAGCAGTAGTGAGGATCGACTCCGGCCGGCAAGGTGACCTTCGAACTCGGGGTTGCTGCTCCCCAACCAGCCACCAAGTCATCATGTGACCTTTGCCCTGCATGAAAGTAAAATGAATTTAGAAAAAAATAACATATTTGGAAAATTGGAGAAAAACGCGTTTTCGGCTAAATTCGCCGTCATCAGAGCCAGAGTGATGAAGGTGATAGTGATTGGGCATAATTATGCCCAATCTACATCGTATTTGGGACGTACATGTATCCCCTATAGAGCCAATCACAGATATACGAACATACGTGATAACCCGTTTTCTTTTACTGGATCCTTGCGTTAGGTTAGGTTCGGGCAATTTAATACATAAGTCTAGTGACGTTGCGACTATAATTACATAATTACATGGTTAATTATGCTCTAATTATACGATTAAAAAAAGTATTATGCAAATTTGATCAATTATAATTTTTTTTTGGCTTCTATGTTAATACTGACTTCTTGAGGAGATTGTCTTCAGAAGTAATTAAGAAAGACTCGGGGTCATTAATGACTTGGGAGGTAATTAAGGTCACCTGTGGTTTAATTAGTTGATTCACCTGTCTATTTGTTCTTGTATAAATATAATCCGTCTCCTCCGTCTGTCTGTGTGTATATCTGTCTGATCTGATTGTGCATTGTCTCTTGGTCTGATTGTATCTGTCTCTTGGCCTGATTGCATCTGTTGGTCTGTTCCAAGCCTCCAGAACAGGACCGAATATTCTAGTGGGGATTGGAAGATACAGTACACTCCCCCCCCCCACACAATCCCCCCCTACAATCCCCCCACAATCACCCCACAATCCCCCTACAATCCCCCACAATCACCCCCACAATCCCCCTACAATCACCCCTACAATCACCCCACAATCACCCCTACAATCACCCCACAATCACCCCCACTAACCTTGACGTAGGTGAGGCCTCTCTCCTGCACAATATAACCCCCAAGCTTGTCCAACATAAGCTTGTGGGCGTGGGAAGAGTGGATTCGAAGTTCCTCGCCCGTCGATTCCATTCTTGAGGCAGTGTTGACTGTGTCCCCGAAGAGGCAGTAACGAGGCATCGTTAGGCCTACCACGCCTGCCACACATGGCCCTGTGGGAGAAGGGGGGGGAAGGGGGTGAGGGAGAGAGAGAGAGTGTTGGTACTCATTTTTGGCTCCTAGAGAGCTGGTTTTCCTCCTCCTGAGCCCCCCCTAGAGTGCTGGAACTCCTGCTCCTAACCCCTTTTAGTACCATTGTACTTCTACGTCTGAGCCTCTAGAGTGCTGGTACTCCTGCTCCTAACCCCTTTGAGTGTTTTGCACTCCTCATTCTGACCCCGAAGAGTGCTGGTACTCTTCCTTCTGACCCATCACAGTGCTGGAACTCTTCAGTGCGGCGGTGGGTCACATTTTGCCCAAACCCCCCTGCAGTTTTCAAAATATCCAAAACATCCTAAATTCGAGGCCTGAGCCATATTTTGGAGCTAAATTCTGGCTCTCTGCACGTATTCGTAGTTTGAAATTACGACTTTTTATACCGAAAATATGCCAATTACTGAAAGTGGCGGTGGGTCACATTTTGCCCAAACCCCCCTGCAGTTTTCAAAATATCCCAAACATCTCAAATTCGAGGCCTGAGCCATATTTTGGAACCAAATTCTGGCTCTCTGCACGTATTCACAGTTTGAAATTACGACTTTTTATACCGAAAATATGCCAATTACTGAAAGCGGCGGTGGGTCACATTTTGCCCAAACCTATAGGGTGTCCCTGGAGGGCCCCCTAGAGGTCCCTGGAGGGCCCCTAGAGGTCCCTGGAGGGCTCCTAGAGGCCCCTTGAGGCACCTGGATGTCTCTGGAGGCCCTTAGACGTCCCATAGATGTCCCTGGAGGCCTCTGGAGGCTCCTAAATGCCTCCTGGAGGTCTTTGAAAGGCCCCGGAGGTCTCTGGAGGCCCTTGGATGTCCCCGAAGGCCCCTGGAGGCCACCGGAATGTCCCTGGAGGTCCCTTGAGGCCCCTGGATGTCCCTGGAGCCCCATAGAGGTATCTGGAGGTCCCAGGAGACCCTCTAAAAATTCCTGGAGGACCCTGGAGGTCTCTGGAGGCCCCCTGAATGTTTTGGAGGTCCTGGAGCCTCCCTGAATGCCCCCAAAAGTCCTTGGAGGCCCTTGTAGGCCCCTGGAGGTCCTGGAGGCCCGCAAGAGATCCCTGGAGGTTCCCGGATGCGACCTGGATGTCCCTGGAGAACAATGGAGGCCCTTTGGATGTCCCTTGAAGTCTCTGGAGGCTCCCTGGATGTTCGTCGGGGTCCGTGGAGGTCCCTTGGAGTTCCCTGGAGGCGCCTAAAGGCCTCCTGGAGGTCCCAAAAGGCCCCCTAGATGTCCTCGGAGGTCCCTGGAGGCCCCTGGAGGTCTCTGGAGGCCCCTTGAGGTCCCTGGACGCCCCTTGAGGTCCCTGGACGCCCCTTGAGGTCCCTAGAAGCCCCTGCAGGTCCCCTGGAGGCCCCTAAATGTCTCTTGGAGGTCCCTAAAACCCTGGAGGTCCTAGGAGGCCCCTGGAGATCTCTGGAACCATCTGGAGGTCTCTGGAGGCTTCTGGAGGCCTCCTGAATGTCCTGGAGGTCCCTTGAGTCCCCTGGAGGTCCGTGGAGGCCCCCCTGAAAGCCCCTGGAGGTCTTTGAAGGACCCTAGGATGTCCCTAGAGGCCCACGAGAGACTCTTTGATGTCCCTTGAGGCCCCTGGAGGTCCCTGGAGGCCCTTGGAGGTCCCTGGAGGTCCCTGAAGGCACCCTGGAGATACCTGGAGGTCCCAGGAGGCGCCCTGGATGTCCATGGAGAACCATGAAGGCCCCTTGGATGTCCCCTGGAGGCCCCTGGATGCCCCTTGAAGTCTCTGGAGGCGCCTAAAGGCCTCCTGTAGGTCCCAAAATGCCCCTGGATTTTCCCAGAGGTCCTTGGAGGCCCCCTGGAGGTCTCTGGAGGCCTCTAGGATCTCCCTGGAAGCCCCCTAGAGGCGCCTTGAGGTCCCTGGATGCCTTTGGAGATCCCCCTTGGGGGTCCCTGGAAGCCCCTGAAGGCCTCCTGAAGGACCCAAAAGCATCTGGAGGCCACGTGATTGTCCCTGAAGGTCCCTTGAGACCCCCTAGAGGTCCCTGGAGGTCCCCGACGGTCCCCTGAGGCCCTTGGAGGCCCACAGAAATTCCCTGGAGGTCCCTGGTGGCCCCCTCTGGATGTCCCTGGAGGTCCCAGGAAGAACCTGGAGGTCCCAAAAGATTCCTGGAGGCCTCGTGAAATTCCTTGGAGGTCTCTGGAGGCCCCTGGACGTCCCCTGGATTTCCCTGGAGGTCCCTCGAGGCCCCTGGAGGTCTCTGGAGGCCCCCAGGATGTCTCTGGAGGCCCTCTAGAGGTTGCCTGAGGGCCCTGGTGGCCCCTGGAGGTCTCTGGAGGTCCATTGAGATTCCCTGGATACCCCTGGAGGCCACCCAAATGACTCTGGAGGTCCCTTGAGGCCCCTGGATGTACCTAGAGGTCCCTGCAGGCCCTTGGAGGTCTCTGGAGGCTCCCAGGATGTCCCTGGAGGCTTCCTAGAGGCTTTGCGAGGTCCTTGGAGGCCCCTGGAGTTCCTTTAGAGACCCTTAGAGGTCTCCTCGAGGTCCCTGGAGACTCCTAAAAGCCTCCCAGAGGTGTTAAAGGCCCCTGAAGGTCTCTGGAGGTCCGTGATGGAGGACACCTGAATGTCCCTGGAGGTCCCTTGAGGCCCCTGAAGGTCCCTGGAGGGCCCCTGAAGGTCCCTGGAGGCCCATGGAGGTCAATAGAGGCCCCTAGAGGTCTCTGGAGGCCCCTACGAGGTCCCTAGAGGACCCCTAGAGGCCCCCTGAGGTCACTGGAGGCTCCTGGAGGTCCTTTGAGTTTGAAATTACGACTTTTTATACCGAAAATATGCCAATTACTGAGAGCGGCGGTGGGTCACATTTTGCCCAAACCAATAGGATGTCCCTGGAGGGCCCCTACAGGCCTTTGGAGGCCCCCTAGAGGCCCCTTGAGGCGCCTGGATGTCTCTGGAGGCTCTTGGACGTCCCATAGAGGTCCCTGGAGGCCCCTGGAGGCTCCTAAATGCCTCCTGGAGGTCTTTGAAAGGCCCCGGAGGTCTCTGAAGGCCCTTGGATGTCCCCGAAGGCCCCTGGAGGCCATCGGAATGTCCCTGGAGGTCCCTTGAGGCCCCTGGATGTCCCTGGAGCCCCATAGAGGTATCTGGAGGTCCCAGGAGACCCCGTAAAAATTCCTGGAGGACCCTGGAGGTCTCTGGAGGCCCCCTGAATGTTTTGGAGGTCCTGGAGCCAATGTGACCCACCGCCGCTTTCAGTAATTGGCATTTTTTTGGTATTAAAAGTCGTAATTTCAAACTTCAAATACGTGCAGAGAGCCAGAATTTGGCTTCAAAATATGGCTCAGTTTTGGGTATCGGGCAAAAATTGGGCGAATTTCGCTGCTGGAGGGCAAAAATCGCGCGATTTTTGGCCGCTACTTGCGAAAATCACGCGGTTTTTGGGCTCTAGCGGCGAAAATCGCGCGATTTTTGCCCGCCAGCTGCGAAAATCGCAAGGTTTTTGCCCGCTAGCGGCGAAATTCGCACGATTTTTGGCCGCTAGCGGAGAAAATCGCCCGATTTCTGGCCGCTAGCGGCGAAAATAGCCTCTTTCTTGGCCGCTAGCGGCGAAAGTCGGTCGATTTTTGCCGCTAGCGGCCAAAAATCGTGCGAATTTCGCCGCTGGAGGGCAAAAATTGGACGATTTTTTCCGCTAACAGCCAAAAATCGGGCGATTTTTGGCCGCTAGCGGCGAAAATCGCGCGATTTTTTGCCGCTGGAGGAAAAAAATCGGGCGATTTTTGGCCGCTGGTTGCGAAAATCGCGCTGTTTTTGCCCGCTAACGGCGAAAATCGCTCGGTTTTTGGGCGCTAGCGGCGAAATTCGCACGATTTTTGGCCGCTAGCGGCGAAAATCGCGCAATTTTTGGCCTCTACCTGCGAAAATCGCGCGATTTTTGGCACCCAGCTGCGAAAATCGCACGGTTTTTGGCCGCTAGCGGCGAAAATCGCGCGATTTTTGGCCGTTAGCCGCGAAAATAGCCCCTTTTTTGGCCGCTAGCAGCGAAAATCAGTCGATTTTTGCCGCTAGCGGCCAAAAACCGCGCGATTTTCGCCGGGAGCGGGCAAAAATTGGGCGATTTTCGCCGCTAGCAGCAAAAATCACCAGATTTTTGGCCGCTAGCGGCGAAAATCACGCGATTTTTGGCCGCTAGCGGCGAAAATCGCCCGGTTTTTGCCCCGGTAGTGGCGAAAATCGCGCGATTTTCGCCGCTAGCGTCCAAAAATCGCGCGATTTTTGGCCGCTACTTGCGAAAATCACGCGATTTTTGCCCGCTAACGGCGAAAATCGCTCGGTTTTTGGGCGCTAGCGGCGAAAATCGCCCGATTTTTGGCCGCTAGCGGAGAAAATCGCGCGATTTTTGGCTGCTAGCGGCGAAAATCGCGCGATTTTTGCCAGCCAGCTGCGAAAATCGCACGGTTTTTGGCCGCTAGCGGCGAAAATCGAGCGATTTTTGGCCGCTAGCGGCGAAACTCGCACGATTTTTGGCCGGTAGTGGCGAAATTCGCACAATTTTTGCCCGCTACCGGCGAAAATAGCCTTTTATTTGGCCGTTAGCAGCGAAAATCGGTTGATTTTTGCCGCTAGCGGCCAAAAATCGCGTGATTTTCGCCGGTTGCGGGCAAAAATCGGGCGAATTTCGCCTCTGGAGGGAAAAATCGGACGATTTTTGCCGCTAGCAGCAAAAATCACCAGATTTTTGGCCGCTAGCGGCGAAAATCGCGCGATTTTTGGCTGGTAGCGGCGAAAATCGCGCGATTTTTACCAGTTAGCTGCGAAAATCGCACGGTTTCTGGACGCTAGCGGCGAAATTCGCACGATTTTTGGCCGCTAGCGTCGAAAATCGCGAGATTTTTGGCCGCTACCTTCGAAAATCGCGCGATTTTTGCCCGATAACGGCGAAAATCGCTCGGTTTTGGGGCGCTAGCGGTGAAAATCGCGCGATTTTTGACCGCTAGCGGCGAAA